GAGAGGACCTACCGTTCTTTAGAAACGGTAGCGTGTGGCGGCGCTGGCGACGTCCTCAACGCGACCAGACGAACCACATGGTTTGATTTGGTCTGGCTGCGCTGTGAGTGATAGGTTCTCCACATGTGCGGGCCGCTCCCGCCTGCTCCAGCGGGAGCGAGCCACTCCGCGCAGCAGCAGTAGCAGCGCCTTGCACATGCAATGCGTCGCGCAGTGCGTCGCCGAGTGACGTGACGTGCCGTGACGTGGCGTGACGATGATGCGGGAGTGACGTGGGAGAGACCGCCACCGACGCCCCCACGCCCCCGAAAACGGCCCCAGGGCTCCCCTCTCCCCGACCCGCCCCCGGCCCGCCCCCGGCCCGGAGTCATCTAATGACAGACAGGACGTGCCGACAGACGGGCCGGGCCGGCCGGCCTGCCATGTGGCTCTGCGGATAAAAAAGAAACACCGAGGCGTGCTCTGTAGGTCAGACGCGACAGGGACACGACAGGACACGCGGGGACACGCCAGCCTACCAGCAGCATTATTCCTGCCATTACGCCCAATTCCAGCTGTCTGCTATGAAATGTCCAATCAGACTCGACTCGCGTGCGGCGCACGGTGAGCTTCTGTGTGTGGCCGCCCGCGGCACGGCCTACGAGGTACACTGCAAACTGAGGGTGACGTGTTCTGCGTAAAAGGGGTGCAGGATGCTGTAGCTGTAGAGGTTTGTGTGAAATTTTTAATTTAATCAAGGATTGATTTAAGCCTTTTAAATAGCGCATAACAAAACGCGGAAGAAATATTTTCCTCGTTTATGTATTCTGATTAAACAATTTGAATCGTTTTCAATTTATTTATCGTGCGTGTTGTTGATGTAGTTGCTTTTGGAATTCTGTGCAAAATTTCCGCGCGCCGCTTGTCTACGGAAGGTGCTAGTGCCCCTCGCGGCGCGCGCCGGCCGGCGTGTGACGTCGCGACGCTCGGCCCGTGGCGGGGGCGGCGCGACGCCCCTGCTAGGCCAGGCAGCCGAGCCGCCCGGCTCGCCGGCTCCCGCTTCGGGTCGGGGTCGGGCGCGCTCGGCTCGGCCCGTCCGGACTGCTCTGCTCGCTCTGCTCGAGGCGCGACAGCCGCGGTGAGGCCCGGCCGGGCCCCCGTGGCCGGCGTAGCCCCGCCCCATCCGCACGCCATTGGTGCGCGCGGCCCGTACGTCATGTCGGCTCCCGCCTGTGCCGCCGCTCGCCGCTAGAGCGCGCTGCGTGTCCGCGCCGCCCGCCGCGCTGCCCGCGCGCCCGCGCTGCGCTGCGCCCTCGCGCGCCCTATGGCCAGTGCATGGACCGCGAGGTGCGAGAGGACGCATGCCCGCGACATGTCGTGCGATCGACGTGACTTCAATGTTGGCGCTGTTGGACAAAGCCAACGTTTTAAAGTAACCTTGCCGTGGTCACGGCCTTGCTCTCGGTGGCGTCCCACGTCCCGCTCCCGCTCCCCAGAAGGCGCGGGCTTCCTTCGCGCCGCGCGGGCGGTGGAACATCTCACTCGGCGGGGTGGGGCGGGGCGTGCGGGGCGTTGAGGGGGTGCGCTCCAGTCATAACCCATTCATGGGGCTGCGCCGGCCGGGCCTGGCGGGCTGGAGGCGCGCGGCACAGCAGAGCACGGCGGAGCACGGGCCCGAGGCGGCAGAGAGAATTCCTTTGACAGCTCCAACATCCATCAGCGAGCAGCAGCACCGCGGCATGCCGGGCGTGGCGGGGCGGGGCGGGGCGCCGGGGCGCGGGGGTGTTGGAGCGTACTGTGCCGAGGGGGGCGCGGGACGCCCAGCCGCCGCCGGCCACGCGCTCCGCGCCCCCATTGTCGGCCTCCTCGAGACGGTCGTGGCGGTTCCTCCTCTGCAGACGCACCGGGTCGAGGATGCCGCCGGCGCACCGCTAATGACGCCGCGGCATGTCGTGATGTGGCCCTGCCCTGCCCC